TCAACCAGATCATTCTGAGTACCAATCCCATCTAGACCAACTCACTCATCATCGTCAACCCCTAAAAAGTCCTATAACAACCAAAAAAATAAAAGCCTTTAACATATACAAACTGAGAAGGAAAACCAAACAACTAAAAAGAAAGTTGTATATACCTCAGAGTCATGACTCTCATTGACTTTGACTTGGGAACCCAACACCTGAGAAAACCTAGTCAATGGACTATCAGACATTAGAGCTGAACAATGTTGTGAAAGCACATCCTCATCCTTAGAAACACTAAGCACAGTAAATGGAGACGGCAGACTATGAAGTTGCTCATTTTTCCCAGCAACTCGAAACAACAAAGCCATTCCACTAAGACGTTGGAGTTCAACATGAACACAACCAGCTCCCTAAAAAAGCATAAATTATTCTGCAGAATAAATAATTTCAAACAAAATTAAAACATTAACATCAAAATGGAAGTTGTAAAAGAAAGTTCCAAGTGCATAAAAGTATATATAAAAGAAAAAACTACAATCTCAAATATAATGCACTTCAAGGCATATTGTACAAGAATACTACAATACCATAAGACAACATGGACATACTATTCATGCTTCTAAGATGTGTCTGATTAAGCTTCAAACTGAATAAAAAAAATACAAAATAAAAAATAATTAAAACAGAAGAACATTTAAAAAAAAAAACACACACACACACACACATTAATGTATTTATTCAAATTACCTGACTTTGAACCATAAGAATTCTTTAGAGTCATGGTTAAACCATATTTTGGTGGCATTATATGAGCTTCAAATTATGACTTGATCTAAACAATAAAATAATATAATGGGAGAAAATAATAATACAAAAAAAGTACATTTTTTTCACTGAAATAATAATAATAATAAATAAATAAATTAGTAGAATAACAGAAACTTACCTCATAGCCGTGAAAAAGACATTCTTGACTCTTGATGAGCTGCGAATTTCTGCCTTTAAGAACGTAACAACGTACGTTCTTATTAACCTTAATCTTATAGCCATTATTGTATAATTATATAATATGGGCATGTTTCTTTTCCTAAGATGAACATGTGAAACATTTTCAGGTTTTCCAAAACAGAGAAACAACAAAGACGCAGAGAGTTAATGGCGAACTGTTAAGTGTTTGTATATCAATTTATAGAAGATGTAGCCTGTTCAAACCCGACCCAATCCGCGTAACCCGCCCGATCCGATATCCGACAACATGCTATCCGACCCGCTCCGCATCCGGCTCTCCATATCCGATCCCCAGGCTAAATGACGTCGGATAAACCAAATTGGATAGGGTTTGGTTTTTTTCCATCCGACCCGTCCGAATATCCGAAGTTTAGTAGGGTTAGGGTTTTCCTATATACTACACGACATCGTTTAATGTTAGTATATATATATGTTGAACGCTGATGAGGTCCATTTGCGCAGTCGCTACTCTCTCTCTCTCTAAGACTTCTCTGAGTTATCTCTACTCCTCTCATCCTCCATTCCTCTGACCTCTCTCTACTCTCTAAGAGTCTGAGACTCTGAGTTCTCTCTACTCCTCAGTCTAGTCTGTTGTCTCTTCTTCTCCAATAGACAATAGTCTGAGAGACTGAGACTCTGACTTCTCCGATACTCCGATTGTCCGATTGTCTGATTGTCCGGTGGTCGGTGCCTGTTAGTGGTAGAAGCCCTTCTCGAGCTCTTTTGGGGAATATTGAGTAAAGACCCTTGTTCTCCGGGGAATATTAAGGGGAAACCAAGTAAAGCACAAACCCTAGTTTTTATTTTTATGATTTTTTGATTTTATTCACTGCATGTTCTTATATTTGTGTTATATTATGTTATGTTGTGATCTATGTTGTGATCTATTATGGTGGAAGCTGTTGTAATCACAAACCCTAGTTTTTATTTTTATGATTTGTTGATTTTATTCACTGCATGTTCTTATATTTGTGTTATATTATGTTATGTTGTGATCTATTATGGTGGAAGCTGTTGTAATCACAAACCCTAGTTTTTATTTTTATGATTTGTTCATTTTATTCACTGCATGTTCTTATATTTGTGTTAGATTATGTTATGTTGTGATCTATTATGGTGGAAGCTGTTGTAATCTCAAACCCTAGTTTTGCAGTTGTGATTTATTCACTATATTGTGATATATTCTGTAGGGCACTAGGGCTGTGTGCAAATCCGATCCAACCTGCTAATATTGCATTATTGTGATATATATGTTCTGAACTTCTGAGTTCTAATATATTTTGTGTTTCTGATATTCTGATTTTTTATATAATGGTGGAAGCAGTGTGATTTTGTGATATTATGCGATCTATTGTGATGTCCCTTTAAAAGCTAAAGGCTTGAATGTGAAATCATCAAGTTTCATACTTGAAATTTCCATTTATTGGTGGAAGCCATTAATTGAAATCCAGATAATGATGAACTGGATACAGTTCCTGAATCTGGATTTCTTTCATTCTTTGACTATGTTTATGGATGTATGACCCTTAACTGAATGTAAATATGTAAATATGTAATTCTGAAATTGTGAAATCTTGCTACATGATGACACAAACAAGTGTCTGAATCTTGATTTCTTTGTATGTTTATGTGATTGTTGTCTTTGCTGAGTACTTGAGTACTTGGATTTGTTAGACCTTTAACTGATGCCCATCATTTTAGATGGAGAGCATCAATGTTCCTGATTCTGGACCTCATCCCTCAACTCAAGAGGGACATGGAGGACAAGCCCAAGGCACTGAGAAACCTGCTCATAGCCTCAAGTGACTCCTGCTGTTCCTGCAAAAAAGAGAAAGGTGGTTGAGTCTAGATCAAAAGTCTGGGATCACTTTGAAAAGATCTATGACTCTGAGAATATAGTGGTTAAAGGCAAGTGCCTTTACTGCTTGAAAGTGTTTGTCTGTGAGTCTAAGAAACATGGCACATCATCTTTGAGAAATCATATGGTGGCCTGCCTTAAAAAATCCTCATTCAAAGGATACAAGGCAGTCCCTTCCCACATTCAATACTGTTTCAACTTCTGGAACAGAGGCTCTTGTGAAGGTTTTGGGGACATAGGTCTTTAATCAAGAGGCCATTAGGAGGACAGTGTGTGAGATGATCATCATAGATGAACTCCCTTTTAGGTTTGTTGAGGGTCGGGAGTTCAAGATCGAAGTTTATTCTTGTAGCTTGTCCTAGGTTTCAGAATCCTTCTAGGTGGACTATTTCTAGGGATATCTACCAAATTTTCCTAGATGAGAGGCTGAGTCTTAAGAAGGTGTTTAGAGTGGGCACCTAAAGGGTCAGTTTAACCACTGATACATGGATTTCTGCCCAGAGGATTAATTATATGTGCATTACTGCACAATTTATTGATGATCAGTGGAAGCTTCAGAAAAAAATTATTTCCTTTGTCCCTGTTTCTTCTCATAGGGGGGAGTATATTTCCAAAGCCTTAGAGACATGTCTGTTAGAGTGGGGGATTAAAAATGTGTTCACTGTGACAATATACAATGCTTCTTCTAATGATACAGCTTTGGGATTTTTTAAAAGCAAGTTGTTGTCTTGGGGTTGTTCTTCTGTTAGGGTGCAGTATATGCACATGGGGTGTATAGCACATATCCTAAACTTAGTGGTTCAAGATGGCTTGAGGTTTGCAGATGAGTCAGTAAAAAGGGTGAGGGATGCAGTGAGATGGGTTAGGAACTCACCTGCTAGGTTGAATAAGTTCAGAGAGCTTGCTGAACTCATTTGGGTAGAAGCCAAAGCAGCTTTGTAGCTTGATGTCCTTACAAGGTGGAACAACACCTACATTATGCTCAACACTGCAATTCAATATCAAAGGGTCTTTGATGCATATCATCAAAATGATCCATCTTTTTCTGCTGACTTGGGTTCTGCTCCTTCTTTCCTGGATTGGCAGACTGTTGAAAACTTAATGAAGCTTTTGAAAACTTTTTTATGAAATGACAGAATATCTGGTTCTCTTTATGTCACTTCTAACACATTTTTCTCTGAGATCTCTGATCTCAGTTGCATGCTAGAAGATATGATTAAAGCTGAGAATACTGAAAAGGTAAAACCCTTGTGTTTATTTGTTTAACTTGTAACTATTTTTAACTTTTTATTTGTGTTTATTTGTTAAATAGGCAATGAGGACAAATTTGATAAGTACTGGGGAGATCCAGAAAAAATGAACCATCTCATTTTCTTTGCCAATATCCTGGACCCAAGATATAAGGAGGATTACATGCCACACCAGTTTGTCCAGTTGTATGGAGATGTCAAAGGCAAAGCTTGTTTTGCCAAGGTCCAATTTGCAATGGTTGCATTGTATAATGACTATGCAACTACATACTCTAACAGTTCATCCTCTAACTAACCTGTCCAGTCTCAGGCTACTAGTTGTACAGTTGGTAGGCCTGTGTCAAGGATGAAGAGTGAACTTAAAAAAAAAAAAAAAAAAAAAAAAAAAAAGAGAGACTGGAGAGTGGTGGTGGAAGCAGTAAGCAGACAGAGCTACAAATTTACTTGAGTGAAAATCTGGTTGAGGATGATGAATCTGTGAGTTTTGATGTTTTAAAGTGGTGGAAGAGTCATAGTAAGAGATTTCCTATTCTCCCCAAAATTGCTAGAGATGTGCTTGCAGTTTCTATTTCCATAATTGCATCTGAGAGTGCATTTAGTACAAGTGGAAGAGTGCTTGATGCATTTTGGAGTTCCTTGACACCTAAAATAGCGGAAGCCCTACTTTGTACACAAGATTGGTTGACGTTACATAATTAGCCAATCACACTTGAGGAGAATTTAGATGAGGTTGAAAGATTGGAGAAAGGTAAAACCATCTGTATATGTCACGCCCCAAAAATGAGCGTAACCCGGCCGTATTATCACGACAAAAAAAAAATCGTTATAATACGAAGCTTGCTAAACAAATATCAATCACAAGATAACATAAACAACCTCTTGGTCTTAAAGTTCCTTATCCCAAAGATAGCTTAATTGGAAATATAATATACACATTTAAGCTTCTAGACATGGTCCAAAATTACAACTTGAAATCCAAGGTCCTACTATGGACTTTGATCTCCACAAAAAGACTAGAAGAAGTCCTCCTCTATCACAAAACACTATACTAATACCCCAGGGTCTTTAACTCCAAAATGTGACCTCCCTTGCCTTAACCTCGATCAACAATCTAATCTGAAAACATGAACACACAAGTGAGCTCAAAGCACGGTACATCATATAATACTTCTCTACCAAATCAAGTATAAAGAATAAAGAGGACCCCAAATAAATAAGGTAACATAAGACGTTTAATAAAAAGTATAATAAAAGCGTTAGTAGTCTTATACAATTTTATCGCATAAGAGTATCAATAATTCCAAAGTTTTCCCTTCAAGTCATGAATCATAGATCGGTGCTCAAATATCATAGAAATAAATAAATAAAGATATTACATACCTAACTCACCATTTTACTTTGAGAACTATAATATACTCATAGGATGAGCCAAGATCGATTAATAAAATTACACTAGTCAAGGGTAGCAAAGCTACCAATTAAAATCAAGGGAATGTTCCAAATCAAGGGTGGCGAGACCACCAGTTGGGAATCAAGGGAACATTCCAAGCCAAGACAAGGGTGGTTAGACCATCAATATGATTAATACCTTTGAAAATCTATATATAGCATAATCAACATTAAAACGCCTCAAATTCGCAAATTTTCACGAGATATGTACTAATTCTTTATCATACAAAACATGCCCATAATATTCAAGAATAGCTTCACTATTTTACAATCACTTAAGCTATGGCATATAAGTTACAATGAGTAAGTAAGTGCAAAGTTCCCTTACCTTAGTAAGCTTTAAGCATAGAAATTCCTTTATGCACTAACCTTCACGGTCACCTATCAAATATATACACCATTATAACTTACTAGCATTCCAAATATTTACAAATTCTTCTTGTAAATTTATAAACAACCATGTTTTCTCCACCCCAAGCAACAATCCAAAAATATAAATAAATGAGCCTAAGACCTCTATTACTCTTCTTGAAACAAGTACTGTCAAAATTTAACAAATAAGATGTAGTTCATTAGGGAGAAAAATCAGCCGCAACATGGGTAATAAATCATAGGTTTGCAAGGGAAATGAAATAATAAAATAGCACATAACCCTACTAAAGCTATCCCAAAACACCCACTTTAAACAACCCTTGGCAATTTCAATTCTTCACTAGAAATCCCATTCTTGAGCTTCAAATTACAGCAAAAATGAACCAGGAAGCTAAAGTGTATAATCTCTTCTTTTAACAACAAAACTAAATTAATTACCTTGTCCCCTTTTTTTATTTTATTTTTGAGCACAAAAGCAAAACCTCCTGCCTCCTTCCTCTTCCTACGCCAAAAGCTGAAAGTGTCCTCTTCTCCCCTCTTTCTTCTCTACTAAGATTCCAGAATAATCTCCTTCCCCCTAATGGACTTCTCAAGCTTAAGATATACAATTATTATTGGGCCCAAGAATAGACTAAGCCCAAATCAAAACTTAACCAACTAATTATTATTATTATTATTATTATTATTATTATTATTATTATTATTATTATTATTATTGTTGTTGTTGTTGTTGTTGTTGTTATTGTTATTGTTATTGTTATTGTTATTGTTATCATCAAAAAATGAAAATTTGTCATTACATACTCTACCCCTTAATGAATGTTTCGTCCTCGAAACTTACATACCTTCCTCAGTAAAGAGCTCAGGATAACATTCTCTCATGATCTCCTCTCGTTCCCAAGTAGCTTCTCTTGATGTGTGATTAGACCATTGTATCTTGACCCACATGATTTTACGTCTCCTTAAGGTTTGTTCCTTCTTGACAACTATACGAATAGGCACTTCTGTATAGGACAAGTTATCTTTGATATGCAGTGGCTCATAGTCCAATATGTGACTAGGATCTGAGATATATTTTCTTAACATAGATACATGGAAGACATTGTGGACACTAGATAACCCTGGTGGAAGTGCGACCCTATAGGCCAAATCACCAACTCTTTCAAGAACTTCAAATGGTCCCACATAGCGAGGACTTAACTTTCCACGCTTTCCAAATCTCATCACGCCCTTAGTAAGAGACACCCTCACATACACAAAATCTCCGTTATTAAATTCTAAGCCTTGTCTTTTCAAATCAGCCCAACTCTTCTGCCTATCTTGAGAAGTTTTGATCCTATCTCTTATTAATTGAATCTTCTCAACTGTAAGTTCTACCAATTCAGGACCCAATATCTTTCTTTCTCCAACTTCATCCCAACACAAAGGTGACCTACACTTCCTCCCATATAATGCTTCATACGGTGCCATTCCAATGCTTGATTGATAGCTATTATTATAAGCAAACTCAATTAATCAAGGGCAAATGTTTACTCCAACTTCCTTTAAAGTCAAGTACACAAGCTCTAAGCATATCCTCTAAGGTCTGAATTGTCCTTTCTGTTTGCCCATCAGTTTGAGGGTGAAAGGCTGTACTGAGTTTAAGTTCTGTACCCAAGGCTCTTTGCAAACTCTTCCAAAATTTTGATAAAAACCTTGAGTCCCTATCTGAAACAATGCTCACTGGAACTCCATGCAATCGAACAATCTCATCAATATAGAGTTGAGCCAAATCGTTCAATGGTGTAGTACGTCTAACTGGTAAAAAGTGTGCAGTCTTAGTGAGTCTATCAACAATCACCCAAATAGAATCATTTCCTCGAGTAGTCCTTGGTAGCCCACACACAAAATCCATTGAAATGTATTCCCACTTCCATTCTGGTATTTCTAAGGGCCTTAGTAATCCTGCAGGCCTTTGATGTTCTGCTTTGACTTGTTGACAAACCATGCATTTTGATACAAAGTCCGCTACGTCACGCTTCATGCCGCTCCACCAAAAGTTTCTTTTCAAATCTTTATACATCTTTGTGGCACCGGGGTGCATTGCAAAATAAGGCTTATGAGCTTCACTTAAGACTTCCCTCTTAATCACCTCATCATTTGGCACACACAACCTAGACTTGAAGCGCAATGAACCATCCCCCAAAATTAAAAAGTTTGTAGTCTCACCCTTCTCTAATCTTTCTTTTATTTTTTTCAACCCTGGATCATCAATTTGAGCAACCTTAATTCTATCCAATAATGCTGGTTGAGCAGTTAAAGTTGCCAAAACCTTACTAAACTTATCCTTAGTTATCACTTCTACCTCCATCCTTTCAAACTCTTTTAGTATATGAGGTTGCATAGTTAGAAAGTTTGCAAGTCCCATTGATGATTTTCAACTAAGTGCATCTGCAACCACATTAGCTTTTCCTGGGTGATAGTGAAATCTTATATCATAGTCTTTAATTAACTCTAGCCAACGTCTTTGCCTCATATTTAGATCTTTTTGTGTGAACAAGTATTTCAAACTTTTGTGATCAGTGAAAATCTCACAAGGTTCCCCATATAAATAATGTCTCCAAATTTTCAAAGCAAAAACCACCGCTGCAAGCTCTAAGTCATGAGTTGGGTAGTTCGCTTCATAAGGTTTTAGTTGGCGAGAAGCATAAGCCACCACTCTATCATTTTGCATCAACACACAACCCAACCCTTTCTTTGAGGCATCACTGTATATAAAAAATCCTCCCATGCTCGAGGGGAGTGCTAATATGGGTGCACTTACTAGACGGCTTTTCAAGTCCTCAAAACTTCTTTCACATTCTGCTGTCCACTCAAATTTCACAAGCTTCCGTGTCAAGTTAGTTAAGGAAGAAGCAAGTTGAGAAAATCCTTCCACAAACCTTCTATAATAGCCGGCCAGCCCTAGGAAACTCTTCACCTCAGTTACATTCGTAGGTCGTGGCCAATTAGACACTGCTTCTACTTTGGCTGGATCAACAGAAATTCCATTTTCTGATATTACATGACCAAGAAAAGATACTCTGTTAAGCCAAAACTCACACTTACTTAGTTTTGCATATAACTTCTTGTCTCTCAATGTTTGCAACACCATCCTTAAGTGTTCTACATGCTCTTCTTTGGTTTTAGAGCAAACCAAAATATCATCAATGAAGACTACAACAAATTTATCTAAGAATTGCTTGAATACCCTGTTCATCAAATCCATGAAAGCAGCAGGAGCATTCGTTAACCCGAAAGGCATAACCAAGAATTCATAATGGCCGTATCTAGTTCGAAACGCAGTCTTAGGTACATCTGCTGCCTTGATTTCAATTGGTGATAACCAAATCTCAAGTCAATCTTAGAGAAATACTTTGCTCCTTGCAATTGGTCAAATAAGTCGTCTATGCGGGGTAACAGATATTTGTTCCTTACAGTTACCTTATTCAACTCTCTATAATCGATGCAAATTCGAAAACTCCCATCCTTCTTTTTAACAAACAAAACAGGTGCACCCCAAGGTGAGACACTGGGGCGGATAAATTTCATGTCTAGTAACTCTTGCAATTGTACCTTTAATTCTCGCAACTCTGCTGGAGCCATCCTATATGGAATTTTGGACTTAGGAGTTGTTCCAGGGATCAAATCAATCTCAAACTCTATCTCTCTATCAGGGGGTACTCCTGTTAATTGCTCAGGAAAAACTTCAGGAAAATCACTAACTAGTGGAATGTCTTCTAATTTCACATCTTTGGTTTGTGCATGAATTGCATAAGCTATAAACCCTTGACATCCCTTCCTTAATGATTTTCTTGCACTCATGGTTGAGATGATATGTAGGGGTACCTTAGTGGCCAATACACCTCTCTCTTTGCAATTTTGAATGCAAAATTCTTGTTGCCCTGGAATCTGGAATATAACCTTTCCCTTAGAGCAATCAATATAAGTATGGTTCTTTGATAGCCAATCCATCCCAAGTATGACATCAAAATCATGCATATCCAGCAAAACTAGATTTGCCATCATTTCTCTCCCTCCAAGCAAAAGAATACAATTTTTGACCCACCTATCCGCAACTTCAATCTTCTTCATAGGGGTGCTAACAAACAAGGGTTCATCTAATTTTTCCGTTATTAGTAGGGGTGGGAATGGGCCAGGCCCCTACGTAGGGGCCTATGGCCTGGCCTATTTAAGGCCTGGCTTGGCTTGGCCTGTTTAATAAAAAGGCCAGGCTCAAGCCTATTTAAGAGCCTATTTAGTTAAATAGGCTCAGGCCTATATATAAAAGCCTGGCCTGCGAGCCTGCAGGCCTGGCCTGTTTATATAAAAATATATATAAAATATATATTATATATATCTAATTATTATATATATTACATATTATAACTATTATCTTTTTATATTTATAATATAGCCCACTATATAAACATAAGTATAGTTGTATAACCCTAGACCCTAGTCAAACACTTAGTCGAGACTCGAGACATCAGACATTTGTGAATTGCGATTTACCGGTTCTACAAAAACAGCGAGTCGGCGAGGCGATTTACGGTGCATCCCTGCATCCCGGCGACTCCGGCGAGGCGGCGAGGCGAGTTACTGCACATCCCGGCAAGTCGGCGAGGACAACGGACGTAGGTACGCAGCCACTCAGGCGAAACAGAAACGGCGACGCGACTCAGAATTTGCAGCGACTCCGGTGAGGTTAGTGATTTACTGCGACTCAGAATTGGCAGTGTCTTCTTCCTTCTTCCCTTATCCTTAACTAGTTGTTTATGTGTGTATTGATGGTTAAGAAGCCTTAGATTTCTCTGTGTTGGCAGTGATTTACTTTGTGTTGTTGGCAGTGATTTACTTTGTGTTGTTGGCTAAGAAGCCTAAGAAGCCTTAGATTTCTCTATTTTCTGAAAAAGATCTCTGCCAATTTGCCTAATTGTTCTTAGTTGTAATAATAATGCATACCAAGTAGTGTTATTTATTAATTTTGCAATAAGATTGTTCTATTCCGATCCAGAAAGTCACTGTCTTCACATGAATTAAACTATAATATAATATGTGTTGGGCCATTTACCTACGACATACTTTATTCCCATGAATTGTACTTTGAGTATGTGTTAAACTTATATTAGGAAATCATTTTTTTACTGTTCTTAGTTGCTAATTGCTAACTATACCAATAAGCTAATTAATACATTGATTATTATTCTTAGTTGCTAATTGCTATTAAGCTAAGCTTCCTATCTTAGTTGCTAATTGCTATTAAGCTAAGCTAATTAGGAAGCTAAGTAATAACAGTAAGGCAGTAAGCTAATTAGGAAGCTAATTAGGAATCTAAGCTAAGCTAATTACTGTTCTTATAATTGCTAATAAAATAAGCTAATTACAGTTGCTAAGCTAAGCTAATTACAGTTGCTGATTAGTGATTACAGTAATAAAATAAGAATGTATTAGTTTAGTTGTTTATTCCTTAACTAGTTGTTTATGTGTGTATTGTTGATGGTTAAATATTTATAAAATTATATAGGATGGCAAGTAACAATACAAATGAATCTACTCCTGAAGAAGTTAATGTGCAAGTTACAACTACAACTCCATCAATTTCTTCAAGTCAACCAATTGAAAGTAACAATTCTGAAGAAGTCAATAGGGTTGAGAATGATTCAATCTTAACAAAAAAGCGGAAAAAAACATCTCAGGTATGGAAGGATTTTGATGAAATTGTACTTGCTAATGGTACAAAGAAAGCAGTGTGTTTGTATTGTAAGGAAAAATACTCTACTGGTGGAAAGGGTGGAAGCACTAGCCATCTTAAGAGGCACTCAGAGATTTGCTTGCAGCGCAAGTTGCATATCTCTCGAGAAAATAAGCAAACAACGATACAATTTTGTCCGCCTAGTGAATCTGGTGGTAATCCTTTTATTGTTCCTAATGCTAAATACTCCAATGAAAAGATGAGAGAGATTATTGCTAGTGGAATCATGGTGCATGAGCGACCATTTAGCATCGTAGAGGATGACATGTTCATGTGGGGTTTTGAATATGCAAATCCAAATTTTAGAAGAGTCAGTCGTAAAACAGCAAGAAGTGATTGTTTGCAATTGTATGAAGCTGAAAAGAATACTTTGAAAAAGATTTTGAATAATGTGAGTAAGGTTAGCATTACAACAGACATGTGGAAGTCAAGTCACCAAGTAGTTGAGTACATGGTTGTGACAGGTCATTTTGTTGATGCAAGTTGGAACCTTCAGAAGAGAGTTTTGAATTTTGTCAAAGTGCCTCCTCCTCGACGGGGAACAGATATAGCAAATGCTATTTTCAAGTGTTTGAGAGGATGGGGCATTGAGAATAAAATATTCTCAGTAACTGTTGACAATGCATCTTACAATGACTCTTGTGTTAGAAGTTTGAAAGAAAACATGTCATTGAGCAGTAAGTTAGTACTTGGGGGGCAACTTTTTCATGTTAGGTGTTGTGCTCACATTCTGAATTTGTTGGTGCAAGATGGCCTTAACACTATTAAAGATATCATTCTCAATGTTCGTGAAAGTGTGAAATTTATAAATTCTTCAGATGCAAGGCTAAAGTCATTCCATGAAGTTGTTGAATTAAAAGGATTGAAAGAAAGGAAACTTATTCTTGATTGTCCAACAAGATGGAACTCCACATTCTTGATGTTGTCTACTGCAAGTAAATTTAAACATGCATTTTCAGATTACAATGAAAAAGAGCCACATTATAAGTATGCACCATCATTTGAGGATTGGGACAAGATTGAGAAGGTTTGTAAACTTTTGGAGGTTTTTAATGATGCCACTCATGTCATCTCAGGTAGTGATTACCCTACTTCTAACTTGTACCTAGCTGAAATTCAAAGGGTGAAAAAGGTTATTGATAATGCAGCTGAGTGTTTTGACATGTTTATGAGTGATATGGCAATACCTATGAAAGCAAAATTTGACAAATATTGGGGGGAGTGTAATTTGTTAATGTCTATTGCATGCGTTTTAGATCCAAGGATGAAATTGAATGGTATTAAGATAACTTTTCCCTTATTGTATAAAACACCAAGTGATGCTGAAAAGAATGTGGAGAAGGTGAAAAAGGCATTAGAAGATTTATATCTTGATTATGTGAACTTGTATAGTCAAGATGCTTCTTCTACTAGTGGACATAGTGAAGTCAATGTTGAAAGCAACACTTTGGTTGATGGTGGACAACAAATGGATAAAGGGATGCAAGAAATATTGAGTATGGTTTACCAAAGTCAATCAATTCCTCTTACGAAATCAGAGTTGGAGACTTATCTTGAGGAAAATCTTTTTATTCCTTCTTCTACTTCATCCTTTTGTGCCTTGGCGTGGTGGAAAAATAATAGCCCAAAGTTTAAAATTTTATCAAAGCTGGCTTGTGATATACTAGCTGTTCCTATTTCAAGTGTGGCATCTGAATCTACATTTAGTGCTGGGGGAAGAGTCATTGATGAATATCGTGCTAGCTTAAATGAGGAATCTATTGAAGCTCTTATTTGTGGTGGGGATTGGCTTCGTAACAAATATGGGCTGAAGAAAAAACAAAAGGTAAGAATCTACTTATTACTTTAATATTTTATATTATTTTATATTACTATTTGTTACTTTAATATTCTCAATTTTTTCATTGTGTAGGGGAATTCTGGACAAGAGGAGATTATGTTGAAGCCATGACTTGTTTAATTTTATGTTTGAATACTATTGTTGTTATTATGTTTAATGTTTCATGTATGTATTGTGGACTTATGATTTATGTTGTTGTTAAACTTGTGAATTTGTGGACTTTTGTATTATGGACTTGTAGACTTGAAGTTATCAAACTTGTATGATTTTGTATTATGAACCCCTACTTATTAAACTTGTGTTGTTGGACATTTTATTATAAAATATGAACTTGGTTTTGTAGTTTATGATTATTGGTTGATTGTAATTTAATAATATTATTATTTTTTACAGGTGTATATTAAAAGTCTTTAAAATGTAGGCTTTAAATAGGCTTTGAGCCTATTTAAATACTCTCAAAGCCTATTTAGAACCTACATTGAAGCCTTTTTAAAAGCCTATTTAGTAAATAGGCTTTTAAAAAGGCTTCAGGCCAGGCCAGGCCTACTGCAGGCCCAGGCTTGAGCCTAAAAAAAAGCCTACATACAGGCCCAGGCCCAGGCCTAGGCTTTACCTTTTCCTAACAGGCCCGGGCCTAATTTTTAAAAGCCTGGCTTGGCCTGGCCCATTTCCACCCCTAGTTATTAGGTTCAAAGACTTCACAAATCTCTTAGACACAAAGCAATGAGAGGAACCAGAGTCAAACAAGACATAAGCATTTATAGAGTTTATGGGCAATATACCTGAAACAACATTGTCGGCAACATCTGCATCTTGTTGAGTCATAGCGAATACGCGAGCATTAGTCCTGGGTTTTTGTTGAGTTGATCCTGCTGCAATATGCATTTTCCTTGGACAATCTTTCACTTTGTGTCCCAATTGACTGCATTCAAAACATGCCCCAAACTTACGGCGACACTCCCCAGTGTGATAAAGATGGCAAAAGTTGCACTCCTTGGTCTGCACAACATGTCCTTTACTTGTCTTCTTATTTGGTACATTTCCACTATCCCTTGGCTTTCCATATTGTTGTATGGATTCTCTTACCCTTTTTCTGTCAGACCACTGCTCCTTAGACTCATTCAACCTTGCTTCAACTTTTATGGCACTATCGAACACTTCTTGATAGCTATGATAAACATTAGATGACATATGATTGCAGATTGTAGACCTCAAACCATTTTCAAACCTATTGGTCTTTGTTTCCTCATTACTCATATAGATTGGAAAGAACTCTCCTAGTTCTATATATTTATGAGCATATTCCAAGACTGTCATATCACCTTGCACCAAATTTAGGAATTCATTTTCTAGCACCCTCCTTACACTATCAGGAAAACAGTTACAATAAAACACCCTCTTAAATTCTTGGGAATGATGCCCTTGTAACCCCCCACCAATGCTCTGCATTTCCTTGAAGCAATGGTATGGTTACACCCAATTTGATTTTCGGAGGGAACTGCATAGCTACGAACAATTTCTCCACCTCTTTGATCCATTTAATTGCTGCCAAGGGATTTGGACCACCATCGAAAGTCGGTGGGTTTACACGTCTAAACCTTTCAAAATAGGACGCTTGATTATTAGTTGCTTGTTGCTGCAAAAGGTTAGCTAACACTTGAAAGGTGCCCGCAATGTCAACTTGTGTAGTTGTTTGAGGCGCAGCTTGAGAGGTAACTTGAAGTTGAGGAATACCCGAAGATGGGACTTCATCAACCGGTACATCTCGAATCCCTTGAACTAGCCTAGCAATTCGACCACCTCTCGATTGCCTTGCATGCCTTCCTCTTCCGCCGCCCGAGGTTCCTCCACGACCTCTATCCATGAATTGACTAATTTGCTGAAAGACATACAAACAATGAAATATAACAAAAACAATACTAACAACCATTCACAACATCAAATACCTAAGATTTACAACTGACCCACACATTCCATATTAGAACATACATTTGTTTACAAGCCTAGATTTTTTTTCTTTTAAGGAGTTAACCTATGCTTGGATAAACAATCAATTCCAAACCTGGCTCTGATACCAACTCTGTCACGCCCCAAAAATGAGCGTAACCTGGCCGTATTATCATGACAAAAAAATCGTTATAATACGAAGCCTGCTAAACAAAATATCAATCACAAGATAACATAAACAACCTCTTGGTCTTAAAGTTCCTTCTCCCAAAGATAGCTTAATTGGAAATATAATATACACATTTAAGCTTCTAGACATGGTCCAAAATTACAACTTGAAATCCAAGGTCCTACTATAGACTTTGATCTCCACAAAAAGACTAGAAGTAATCCTCCTCTATCACAAAACACTATATTAATACCCCATGGTCTTTAACCCCAAAATGTGACCTCCCTTGTCTTAACCTCGATCAACACTCTAATCTGAAAACATGAACACACAAGTGAGCTCAAAGCACGGTACATCATATAATATTTCTCTACCAAATCAAGTATAAAGAATAAAGATGACCACAAATAAATAAGGTAACATAAGACGTTTAATAAAAAGTATAATAAAAGTGTTAGTATTCTTATACAATTTTATCACATAAGAGTATCAATAACTCCAGAGTTTTCCCTTCAAGTCATGAATCATAGATCGGTGCTCAAATATCATAGAAATAAATAAATAAAGATATTACATACCTAACTCACCATTTTACTTTGATAACTATATTATACTCATAGGATGAGCCAAGATCAATTAATAAAATTACCCTAGTCAAGGGTAGCAAAGCTACCGATTAAAATCAAGGGAATGTTCCAAATCAAGGGTGGCGAGACCACCAGTTGGGAATCAAGGGAACATTTCAAGTCAAGACAAGGGTGGTTAGACCACCAATATGATTAATACCTTTGAAAATCTATATATAGCATGATCAACATTAAAACGCATCAAATTCCCAAATTTTCACGAGATATGTACTAATTCTTTATCATACAAAGCATACCCATAATATTCAAGAATAGCTTCAATATTTTACAATCACTTAAGCTATGACATATAAGTTACAATGAGTAAGTAAGTGCAAAGTTCCCTTACCTTAGTAAGCTTTAAGCATAGAAATTCCTTTATGCACTAACCTTCACGGTCACCTATCAAATATATACACCATTATAACTTACTAGCATTCCAAATATTTACAAATTCTTCTTGTAAATTTATAAACAACCATGTTTTCTCCACACCAAGCAACAATCCAAAAATATAAATAAATGAGCCTAAGACCTCTATTACTCTTCTTGAAACAAGTACTGTCAAAATTTAACAAATAAGATGTAGTTCATTTGGGAGAAAAATCAGTCGCAACATGGGTAATAAATCATAGGTTTGCAAGGGAAATGAAATAATAAAATAGCACATAACCATACTGAAGCTATCCCAAAACACCCACTTTAAACAACCCTTGGCAATTTCAATTCTTCACTAGAAATCCCATTCTTGAGCTTCGAATTACAGCAAAAATGAACCAGGAAGCTAAAGTGTATAATCTTTTCTTTTAACAACAAAACTAAATTATTTACCTTGTCCCCTTTTTTATTTATTTATTTTTGAGCACAAAAGCAAAACCTCCTACCTCCTTCCTCTTCCTACGCCAAAAGCTGAAAGTGTCCTCTTCTCCCCTCTTTCTTCTCTACTAAGATTCTAAAATAATCTCCTTCCTCCCTAATGGACTTCTCAAGCTTAAGATATACAATTATTATTGAGCCCAAGAATAGACTAAGCCCAAATCAAAACTTAACCAACTAAATTATAATTTGGGCCTAGGTAGAATAAGACCTAAACTATTACTATTATTATTATTATTATTATTATTATTATTATTATTATTATTATTATTATTATTATCAAAAAAATGAAAATTTGTCATTATAGTATACCTTTATCATTCCCATTTCTTTTTTACTTTTGTAACTTGTAAGTTTTAACTAATTACTTATCCTTATCTATTTTGCAGAGTTGCCCACTGGAGCTGCATCTACTCTACCATCAATGCTGCCATCCATTCCTGTAATGTGTTTAACTAATTACTTATCTTTATCTGTTATGGTGTTGTATTGTTGTTTGTTGTTGGCCTTCACAAGATGAAACTCTAAGAGTCTAACTGTCTAATAAGAGGCTTGGCAAATTTCTATAATTCTATTATGGAAATGTTGTCGCACTTAGATCAGTTGAGTACTTGAGTTGAGCACTACTGTCTACTGAGTACTGATAACCTATTTCTTCCATTCTGGATTTCTGGTATTCCTCTAAATCTCTAATCCTCTGATAGTCTGATGATTGATGCTTCCACCTTTGTATTCCTTTAATGCATTATTATTTATTTGACTGGCTATGATGATGCTTCCACCTTTGTCTGAACAAATGGTAGGTATTGCTATGTTGCTCATGTGCTATTATAACACATTTGAGCAACTTGCCCCTATCATTACTTGAAATGGAAAATTGCAATATGAGCCTATAAGGCTATTAGCCTAATGCCCCTACAGCATAATATTGTTACTTAGTTAGCTGTTTACTTAATTGTTAATATGTTGCCTAATATTGTTTTAAGTTTTGATATTAACAGGAAGAAGTGTAGAAATGGTTATTGCTGTCAGCAGATTTGCTGTAAAGAACTAAGATGTTGATTGGAATGATTGCTGAACCCTGAAGTTTAAGTGATTAACTTTTTTTTTTTTTTTGGAAGTTAAACACTTAAACTTAGATTAATTTTGTACTTTTGTTTACTTTTGCAATTTTTGTTGTAAAATTAAATTATTATATGTTTGATGTTTCTGTTCTTTAGCTCTGAAAATTATTAAGTTGTTGCTTGTTTTATTCTTAAGGAATATTTTGCTTCAGTTATTCAATTATTAATTACTTTTTGAAATCCGAAATCCGAAATCCGATCCGTAAAATCCGACATCCGATTTATCATATCAGATATGTTTTTAAGTACAACAAATAACGAATTGGATTGTTAAAATGCAATCCGAAATCCGATCGGATGGACGGAATACATATCCAATCCGTTCGATGCACAGGCCTAAGAAGATGTATGTATGCTTTAGAGTTCCAAAATGTCTTAGCCATTATTGAAGCGAAATAATTAATTTGCATCAGATAGTTAAACGACCAAAAATGTGAAAGGGTGTGAGTAAAACAAAAAAAAAAAAGTGAAATCTTCTAATATCTTTTACTCCGTATCTTGTATTTTTTTATATCTTTTATATTTTAGATGTATATAATAATCAGGGCCGTTCATGTGCAATATCTTAATTTGGGCCCATTTTTTCATAGTAAATAAAACTGTGATCAACATTATCTAAACAACTATCAACATTCTTATTATTTTCATTGTCATAGTGATACCGATCATCATTGTGTACACTATCATTTAAATTTTTTCCAATCTCACAATCATCTTGATCTTCTATATGAAGATTAGCATCTAACAATTTTTCATGACATCATCTTTTTGCTCATCTATTTGAGTTTTTTTTTTGTAATAATTTTTTTCAAGAGCTCTCTTTTGAGATTGAGTTAGTTGCTCAATCCTTTTTTTTTTTTTTTTTTTTACGTTTCTCAGACCCAGATGGATATTTTATAGAAGACATAAAATCCTAAGAAAAAATAAAAATTTATTTAGAAACATTATCAATAAATAATTAATCAAAAACGAATTCTTGAATATATTATTCTGAAATCAGAATTATTAAGTCATGTAAATAAAATAATAAACAAGAATTATGAAATAATACATAATTTTAATTAACTGTCAAGAAAATTGAAGAACTTGAGAGTTTGTATGATAAAAAAATAAAGACACTTTGTTTGTCTGGCCTGTTGTTGTCGGTGAGAATCTGGACTTCATAGTATCTTAATGCAAAAGGATATGTATGTAATACCCACATCCATTATTTATAGACTGATTTAGTTGTTTATTATGTTTTTGAAGCGTAAACCTGTTGCAGCAGACGTTCCGACATTCCCAACTGCAGTAAATCTGCAAGTATTGAAGCTGTATGACTTAAGTTTTGGTTGTGGGAAGCAGCTCACTGTTGCTATGCAATTGATTCAAAAATGTCCCAACCTATGTGAACTGGGGATTAATGCAGAAAAGGTTTGAGTATATATTTGGCAATCATGCATATATGAATCTTCTGTATTTTTTTGTTCTTTTTCAAATTTCCTCAGAGTTGTGCGTGTTTTTCATTTCTTCTTGAGTTGTAGTCAAGTTGGAGGGATGACAAAGCTTCAAGACTAAGAGTTTTGGAGGATCCAGATGGTTGCTTTAATATTCAGGTCTTGGAGAAGCTTAACACAATCAAGTTTGAATGTCA